GTTATTATTGGTAAGTAATGCTTAATATTTACTTGTTACTCATCAAGATACAAACAATCCAGCACAAATGAAAGAAGTGTCAATACTTAGCAAAAATTTCCATTCCATTAATCACAAGATTACAAGAATTGGACCGAAGCCATTACAATGAGTCTTAATCTATTAGCACTATAGCCCCTGCCCCCACCTGGGCCTCCTAATGAAACTATTTCTACCCCTGTAACAGCATCTCTAGGAGCAGCAGTGGCTATGTCGGGGCGACCCCCGGTAGGTCCACCGAACTCTTCCTCCGAAGTCGAGATGTCCAAGTTCGGGTGGACCTCTCTGAGGCGCTGTCGCATAGCTTGGGCAATCCACGAGGCCCAATAATTGGCAAAGGTGTCATACAGCATGTGCTCTTCAAAGTGGTCGATAAAGTGCTGCACAGCTGACTCCCCAACTTTATTTGCCTCTGCCTTTAAAGACTTGATCTCTTCAACTTGGGCCTCCGCCCACTGCCTCATATCTCTCTTCTCCTTATTCGAGGCATCGAGGGCCTCCACTGCGAGGCGGTGATGCTCGTTGGCATGGTCAATTCGCCTCATCAGAACAGCTACATGGCATTCAGTTTCATGTAGTTCTTTCTTTAGCTATTCTGACATGGCCTCAGTTGCCGCCGCCCTCACCTCTACCGCTACTTTGCCTTCCTAGCCTCCTCTACTTGGGTCCGGGCCGCCGTCACCTCGTCTCCATAAGAAGAGGCCTTTTCCAACTATTGGGCTAGGTCGATATTTTTTGCCATAAGGTCCTTCACCAGACCCTCCAACTGAACACTGGTGCTCAACGCCCAAGCGAGGTAGGCACTGTTAGCAGCCACAAGATCCTCGGCTGAGCAGGACGACGTGTGGTCCCCCAGGCCTCAGTCCAGTACGTGCAATGGACCCGGGCCACAGCAGCAGTCTTTGAAGTGAGGGCCTCCAGTACTTCCTTCACTGGCTCCTCAGAGGTGTAGCCCAAGAAATCCTGCTCCTTCAAGGGATGAGCCCTCTTCTTCCTCTCCTCTGCAGCCATCGGTGCAGGAGACGCTGCAGTAGTGGGGACAGATGCCAACATTGGGGTCACCTCAGGTACACAGCTAGGCCTCTTCCCAATCACAACCCCTGTGGGGATCGTCTTTTACCTCGTGGCCACCCTTGCCACAGTAGGGGCCCCTAGAGGCCCAGCTACCCTCTTGCCCTTCTTCAGCAAGGGCTCCTCCTCCTCGGCCCAGGGAAATTTCTTACTGGCAGCTACCAAGTCCTACATTTGTTTCTTTTCGGCCAAGGAGGACGTCTTCAGGGCCCTCGCCTCAGCCATCATCCCTTGGATGGTCTTAAAGTCCGGCTTCAACGGCCTCTTTTTGTTAAAGTCATCTGTAGAAAACAAGACAGAAAATCAGATGTTTGAATGCTTCAACCATAGACTAATGATGTAACCTCTGCACTCACCTTGGGAGGCCATCAGCTCGTGCTCCATAAAATGGATGTTCTTCCTTATCAGCTTGTTGTAAGACCTCCTCTTCGGGGGAAGCTGATAGACGATGCAGATAGTGTCGAAGTTTTCTGTAGACAACTCGCATCGAGGAAGAGGACCTGCAAGAAAGGATGAGTTACATTCCGAACGCAAGTAAACATATTTACAGAGACGAAGTACTAGTACTCTCTAAATGTGGAGTATTTGGTGGGAACAGTAAGGGGTGCCAGGGGGTCACCCTCCATCGTGTCCCATCTCTCGGAAGCCCAGAACCACGAACTCTTCCATTTCTTGATGGAGCTCGACAGATCGAACACAAATGGAGTGTAAGACCCCCAGGAAGTCAGGTAATACCATCCCTTCATCTTATCACCCCCCACCGCGACCTTTGGTATATAGAATGTTTGGAAGACAGAAAAGGGCATCTCCTCCCTATAGGATGCCTCCTTCCACAACATCCATGAACCCACCATCTGGCTCCAAGAGTTTGGATTCAATTGGGTGGGGGCTAGGCCATAGGACCTTAATACATATCTAAAGAAGGGATAGCTAGGCAACCTAAGCCCCACCCTCAATATGGCCTCGCTAACAACCACGCACCCCGATCTTGGGTAACAGGCTCGCTCATCCGGCCCAGGAAGTATCAAACCCACACTATCTGGGACTCTATATTTGATCCTAAGCCTAGCCAGGTCGACCGTTTTCAACTTAGAAGGATAGTCAGATGTCCCCCAACGTACAAAAGTGTCCGCAGGGCTATCAGGTCACCTCCAGAGGTTTCCTCCCCCCCCCCTTCCAAAATTGCCTCAAAAATTTCAGCCAAAGTGGCCAAAATGGGCTCATCTACCCTGACAACCTCTAGATCCCCTCCAGAACGCACTACTCTCAGAAGCCATCTTCAAAATTCAAAAAATGTGAAAAACTAGGGAAATACTTACTGAAATAAACGGATTAGGGTTTTCTACAGTCAAAAAATAAGAAATGGCCCTCTGAAACCTGCCAGAAACTAAAAATGTTGCCAAAAACACTTGAAGATCATCGAAAATCGCTAAGAAATTTTGAGACAAAGACTGATTTCACAAAAGTGAAAACCTCTCAAAATGCTCGAGTCCTCCTTTTATAGGAGACCCCAGATGATCCCCACGGTTGAACTCAAACGATGTCAATCTAGGTCGTTCATCTCGTCACAAATCTGGATCGTTGAAATGAAACGTTAGATTTGATCAATGCTCAAGACCTAACAGTGCCCCTCACGCACGCATAAAACGCGTCACCTTGAATAAACAACAGCCATCAACAATAACTAGCCGCAGTAGCCCTTTTCTGGGAACAGGCATCACATCCAACTATCGCCTTGGAAATATGTGAAGCTATCACATCGATTAATGTCATCATAACACTTCAGATCAGAGGTAATCCATCCTAATTCGCCTCAGATGAATGCACTCTTACCCAGCTTCAAAAGCTTCCACGCCACTAACGCGGAGTCTCCTGTGGGTTACCGCCTCAGTCGCATGACCATTCAGCTTTACAAGGCTTTAGTCATTTCCCACGCGTCGTCCCCTGTGGGTCAGTGCACTGGTAGCAGATGTGCTTTTCACCCAGCTTTAAAAGCTTCAGTGCTACTGACAAGGAGTCCCATGTGGGTCACAGCCTCGGTCGTGCGACCATTCAGCTTTACAAGGCTTTAGCCATCTCCCAACGCATCGTCCCCTGTAGGTCAGCACACCGGTGGTAGATGTGCTCTTCACCCATCTTAAAAAGCTTCGGCGCCATTGACACGGAGTCCCCTGTTGGTCATCGCCTCGGTCGCACGACCCCTCAGCTTTACAAGTTGTTAGCCATCCCCCAACGCGTCATCCCCTGTGAGTCAACGCGCCAATGGTAGATGAGCTCTTTACCCTACTTTACAAGCTTCGGTGCAACCAAGAGAATGCCCTACCCACATCACATCGATCATCACTTCGCCTCAGCCAACAGCTATTCGGCACGTCTGCTTACTTCATCATTTCACATCAGCACTTCATCAGAATCCACAATACTTACTCCAAGGCCAGTATACATAATCGGGAAAGCAAGTCCACCCATGATATGAATATTTATGCCTAAACTTGAGGGGACCACTGTTACACCCCTAACTAAACCACTTCGGAACAACAGTCACACCACTCTCACGTGTCCATCCCCTAGCTAAACCACTTCGGAACAAACAGTTACACCACTCCCACGTGTCCATCCCCTAGTTAAACCACTTCGGAACAAATAGTCATGCCACTCCCCAAAGTTCCACATGTTTACCCGAAGTGGTTTTGAAGTGATGCCCACTCCTAACGACCTCAACATGGCACGCTGCAAGGTGAAGAGTAAATCCACTGAAGCAATCGAAGTGTCCCTCAGCTCCGAAGTGTTGAACACTCTGAGACACTCCCTAAACAGATCCCTCCATTGCTACTGTCAGAAAGATATCTGTCAAGATCCCCTCTGCCTTCAAAGATCAATTGATGTGACATCTCCATAGGTCTAGTTGATGTGACTTATCAACTTTATGTCAACTCAACTCAGAAGAACTAATTGTCCACCGACTCTAGATGCGGCTGATTGACGCCTATGAGCGGACGCCTCACACCGTCAGATGCATACACGTGTCCCACATTCAGCAGTGCTCTACCTTTATAAATACCCAAGGTTTGGCAAGAGACAAAGGTAATGAAACTCTTATAACTTAACTCTCCATACTCTCTTGCATAACTTGAGCACTGTTCTGATCACCCAATACTGACTTGACCGTCGGAGTGTATGCGGTCACCACCAGCACTGCTGGTTTCGGCCGTGTACTTCTGACCGTGCGTTGTTGTACACAGGGAGGATTACATGTATTAGCTATCCGTTAGCCACGTGGAGGGTCCAATTCTCGAGGTCAACACAAACCAACATGGAGTTGATGCAATTTCAGAACTAACAATAGCATTTGTAATGTTAATATTCAACAATAGTATTTGTAACGTCAAATATGCATCCTACTATATAATCCATTTATCCACATCAAGAGGGGATCCTCTTGACATCAAATAGAATTTTATTTGACTTGACGTCAGAATTAATTGAAACGAAAAATGATTTTTAAATCTAATTTCAAGTAGTCATCTTCGACTCGATCGTTTATCGGTTCTTGAGTTTGAGAGTACAGTTAAATCTCGATAAAGTAATGTTCGATAAAGTAATAACCTCGATTATATAATAATTTCTTTCGATCCTGACTTGGGCCAATGGATTAAAGTAATAACCTCGCTAAATGCATTAAGTAATTAAAAAAAATTGAATCCTTAAGGGCCCAATAAAAATATAAAGTAATAATTACTAGATTTCATTGAGAAAAAAAAATATATATATATATAGACCAAAATCTTTCAATCAATCAACAATACTCGTACAATAATCATTCCTTTTGAAAATATACATCTATAGTTAATTGTTTTTTCTTCCCATCTAAACCAAAATGAACCCCATCCTTAATTTTGTAGAGCATACACAACTTCCGTAATATTTTGCTCGTGTTTTAGCAAGTAGTTGCTTAAGGTGACTATTGCTTGAAATGACTCTTTTGACGACACATTTGGGACAACACTACTATCATCTGGTTCAGGATCATTCTCATCATCATTACTGTTCATTACCAATTGAATAATTTCTTCATCTCTAGGTGATTCCATAATTGCATCATTCTCGCTAGGATAGTTCAAAAGATGTTCAACATCCATCACATTTCTATAGTGTAAATTAGAGATGACATCATTTAATCCTTGGATACCTTCATCTAATTCACCAACTTCTGGTTCGAGAACATTGTTTTCTTCTGACCGAATCTTGCAATGCCAAAAATAATTTGCAATTGTTGTTGTCTTCACATCAAAATTCCAAGCCATGTTAGCAAAATTAATAGCATTCAAAATATTAATTTTTTCAGAATTTAGTGCTTCAACCTCAAGGCCTTGTAAGATGCTAGAATAAAAGCGACGACGATAATGAGCTTTGAATGCTCGAATAATCCCAACATCACATGGTTGAATCTTAAACGTTGTGTTAGGAGGTAAGAAAAATAACTCTACATTTCTCAAGCTTTCAACTACCTTTGGATGAGTTGGGCAATTGTCTACTATTAAGAGAACCTTCCTGCCATTCATTCTCTTATCAAACCAACCAACAAAATCTTGAAAAAGCAAGTCAGTCATCCAAGCTTTCTTGTTGGATCGATACTTGCAATTAAGATTGTTCATCTTTACATTTTTAAAGCATCTAGGATTTGCATACTTAACAATAACCCAAAGTGGTACTTTGTCAGATCCATCACCATTGCAACAAACAACAACAATAATTCTCTCCTTACCTTTTTTGCATCCTTCGAGCTACTTGGTAGCAAGTGAATGATCAGCTTCCAATCGATAAAATAATCCAATTTCATCCATATTGTAAATATCCTTCAACTGAAATTGGTCTAGTTTTGATCGTATTCTAGGTAAAGCATTTTCAATGTTCTCCATGATAACTGAACCACTTTCACTAAAACGTCGGTAAGATTTGATTCCATATCTTGCCTTGAAACATTCTAACCATCCACTAGAAAAACTGAATTCTGGATTAGTTTCACCATACATTTTTTGCAAAAACTCTTTTGCTTTTCGTTGGATAATTTCTCCAGACATATTCACTTTATCTTGCCTTTGAAGAAACCACTCATACAAAACTTTCTCTAAATCAGGGTATTTTGTCGATTAGTGCCTTTTAACATCGCTATTTTTCATCTCATTTGACAAATATTCCGACGCCCTTTTGAGAGTGTTCGATATTGTTGATTGACTAATAGTCAAATCAAAGTTTTGTTGCACCCATACTTGCATATCTTTTTGGCTAATAGTTGGATTCTCTTTCTTACGCTCACATATTGCACTCCTCATTTTATCGGTTAAAGTTGATTTTTTTAATCCTTTCAAATGATGAGAAGACATTGGAGGGGAAACAAAATATTGTATATGCTTGGAATATATCTTCCAAACATCTAGCTTTTATAGGTAAAGACTAAATCTTTTCATTTGCTATGTACGTGAACTTAGTTTTTAGAGACATTAAGGGCCCGTTTGGCACGACTTTTACTTTGGCTTTTGCTTCTTGTAGAAGAGTTTTTGGAGAAAGTTATTTTAATTTTTGTTTGAAAACTAATATTTAAAATCACTTCCCATTCTGGAAGTGCTTTTGGAGGAAGCCAAAAAACCAATTTCCTCTAAAAGCTCTTCTAACCTTCAAAAGCACTTTAAACAAAAATAGCCAAACGGTTCAAAAGCGGCTTTTGGCTCTCAAAAGCTCCTTTTGGCTTTTCAAAAGCCATCCCAAACGGGCCCTAAGTTTCACTAAAACTTTTGAACTTCCCTAGATTCAAATAATACTTTGATTAGTGTCTTTTGATTTTTCTTACCACATACAATGTACATATTTTATATTGAAAAGCTCTCTCTAAAATAATAAATATTTATTTATCGATAAATGAATAATTTATTCATTTATCGATAAATAAATAATCTCGCTAAATGAATATTTTTTTCCGGTCCCGAGGGTATTACTTTATCGAGGTTTAATTGTAGGATTTCGAAGTACATGGTGAGTACTTCGAAGTTGTACCAAGAACTCTTCCCGATTACAAGAATCATAACTCGAGAGATGAGGCATTAATATATGAATTAATGAATAGCCATCATTGATTCACTCTATCACAGTTTTATCGTAAAGCGATTTTGTAAATCGATAAGTACGTTGTGAAGTACCCCGAGTACATCAAAGCGATATGAATAACATTTCCTCATGCTCGTTTAATAGTTGGAAATCAGCTTGCTAACTGATTTGACGAAACGAATAACTAAGGATATTAGACAATTATAAATGGACCCAATTATTATATAAACTTCCGGGTTGCAAAGTAGAGAAAAATTAACTTGAATTGGCATCACTATAATAAGAAATGTGATTTCGCTTTCAGG